GTACGATGAATACCGGAACCTTGTGCACTCGGCGTCCAAGGACTTCCATATCAACGAGGATAACCCCGCTGTGTGGTACAAGTTGACCTCCAGCACTCTGGATGTTGACATTTGTCTGGCCACAAATTCAGCTGTCAACGTGCTCACTTGCGACCCTGTGTCTATCAGAACAGTGCACCGCTTGCCAGAAATGGTGACTTCTACATCACTGATGGGACCAATCATACTCTCCTCCTGCTAATCAACATCAGCACCATCTTTAACGTGGCCTCCTTTCTCTGCAGGGCTCTTGTTACTAGACAAACCCACCGATTGCCCATCATCAGAGGGTTCGTCTAGTTTAAATGTGACGAGGTATGGCTGGGTGTACTGTCTGTTTGCTGGTGGCCTGAATGCTGGATCGGCTGTTGGCTTAGCTGTTGTCTCAGTGGATGACTCTGCTGCTGGCTCGGCTGAGGGCAACGTCGAGCAAAATGGCCAAACACTCCACAGTTGAAACAGGCTCTTGGTTGGACTGGGGCTCGCCTCTGATAAAATCTTCCCATTTTGCCATTGTTTCTGGACTCCAACATCTCCATCCGCTGACCCAGCTGCTTTTGGTTGTCAATCACCTGGTTAAGTGTGGTGACTTGGTGCTCTACTAGCTTGGTAAGGGCTGCAATCTGTGCATTGATGTCATCTTCGGCTGTTCTGGTTGCTTTCTCTGGTTCAGTGTTTGAAGGCGACTTTTCATTGGTTGGCTTCTACGGTATGTGTGCCATGAGCTGATACCGCTGTCTAAGCAACTCTTCCTCCTTACTTTTCTCTTCTGCTATGATGCGCAACTCTGCCCTTAGATCTTTAAATCTCATGGACCATGGACGCATCGGTGCAAGCCGCTGTTGAATTCTGCTGTCGTTTAGTCCTGCCATAAACTGGGTAGTAAGAAGGACATCCCTGCTTGCACCAAATAGATCATGACGGCCTTGCTGCCTCCCCGTGTCTTCTATTCGCCTCAGGAGCGCTTCCAGGGCTATGGCGTAATCGCTCGCTGACTCACCAGACCTCTGCACACGTGCATAGAATCGTTTCATCGGCGAAGTGGCCAGATTATCCTCCCCAAATTCTTCCATCAGTTCGGAGAATGCCATCTCAGTCGTCACTCCACTTGGGGTTCGGCTCTCCAAGTTCAGGATTACATCTCGGGCACGGCCAGAGGTGTGCCTTACTACCTCATGGAAATGGACTCAGTCGGACATCCTGCCTTTGGCTTCGAGGACATACCGCATGTCCAGAACCCAGTCCTCCACTCTAATACTCTTCTCTCTTCCTGTGAAGGTTGCCACCCCCTTCACCTGGTGTGTTGTTATGGCATTGGGTGGAGAAGATGTTGCAGTTGGTGGATGCAGAACTTGGCGGGACGGGGGGTCAAAGCCGCACATCTCCAAGGGAGTGAGTTCATGGTGTGGAAGGTGTGACTTTAGCTGTGTTGCGCTGTCTATCTTGCTTCGGCAGACAGGACCTGGTTGCCTCAGACGGGCTGTCTGTTACCATCAAGGATAACGTGGGTGGACTTGGTGTCGCAGCCATTGTGCAATTTCAATGTTTCTAACCCCAAAACACTGTGTCCGTCTTTTTCCTTATGACCTGTATTACTTGATTTCCTTTGACCTCTCACCAGACAAAAAAATTCAACTGGTTCTAATAGACTCTCCCTATTCCTAGAGTAACCTAGCTAAGTTCTAAAAGAACAGCACTCCCAACCTGGATTCTCCACCAAAAAAGAAAAAAATGTAACCTGGAAAAATAGGTCAAGATCAATAAAGGAAAAAAATTCAAAGAACAAAATCTAAACGTGTGGGGAACTCGCTATATGGCAACAAAAAGGCTAACTGAAATCTTTCAGGGAGGGATCGCGAGATTACTCTACAAATAAAACTACAAACAGTTTAAATTTCCGCACATACAAAAAATAAAAAATGGTTTATTTCCTCAGACTGTACTCAGACTGCTAAATAGGTCTACCTTGATGGAGCCAATCCAATTCGCCTCTCCAACAACCACCCTTCCCTTTTGTGACCACCAGGATGTTAACCTCTTCGACATCAAGGAGCTCCATTCAAGTCAAGTCCCAGACAAGCTCTTCTTTCCCTTATTTTTGGCCTAATATGGTTTTAACTTGTGAAGAAAAAAAATCATAAAATATGGAGGGCCTGACATTTCAATCCACAGGGAATCTTTTGCCTTTGAGAAAGATTCTGCTAGGATCGAAACATCAGGCCCTCCATAGTTTGTAATTTGTATTTTAGGTCACTGTAGTCGGCAAGCAGTTTGCAGCAGTTTTGCATCAGTTATCTCTGGGGAAAAAAGGGGGAATTACTATGATCAATGTGACTGGAATTAATTTCTTTTTATCACTCTTTGAACAGTCACTCAAATTTCCTCAAATCTTGCATTGTGTGACCCTCTTTGCCACTCAGGACAGTGTGAAACAGAACCATTCCATGAACGCCTCAGATTTTGCTTTTAAATTTTTTATGCGAGGTGCCAGCATTGATGAGAAATTAATTGCCTATACATGTTGGTGCATGGTCACTGAAATGAGTGAGATTGGATGCTTTACATTTGAATGGGCAGAGGACGCCCTGCACTAGATCATATCTTTCCCCTCACCAGTCTCCTAGCGGCAGGTGCAGTATGTACATAACATGGGAATTTGTAGTTTCTTGCTAGAGAGAGCACCAGCATTTGTTATCTTCATTGATGCAACTGTAGTGCTACACGTAGTTCATGTACCAACCATGCCTGTAATTTGTGCATCTCAGTGTCTTTTTGCTGGCCGCAGACAATGGTGACCCCTTCAGTTGGAATGTCAGGCCAAAGAACCTCTACTGCATCTGTATGCTAAAGTCTCAAGCCATTTTCTTACAGTTCGGATGAACTCACCGACAGTATGCTATGCATGTGTTGTCAACTCTACTAGGTCGTCATGGTTGAAGTGTTCCATCAACTTTTTCTTAACTGACCCGTGGCTGAAATCCAGTGAAAGTAGAAACAGTGTATCCTTGTCATTTGCACTGGAACCCTTGAAGAAACAGTTTGTCAAATCTCAAAGAAGGCAGCACCATCTGTGGAATTCTTGAGGGCACCGGTCAAGTCTTCGAATCTAATGTAAGGAATTTCTTCACTTGTTCCTTATCCTGAGGCATCTGTCATTTGTTCAAGAGAGAGACCACCCCCAAAGCAAACCATGGGACGTGTTACCATCCTTTGTGACAAACTTTAACATCCACTCCAAGATGCTTCTATACAATGTATTGTACCAGTTGTACTAGATAAATCCCCTCCCACTAATCTAAGGTTCACGTTTTCACTTTTACTTCAGATTCCAGGCACGCTTTGGATAACATTCACAATGTGTTCCACAACACGGCAGTATCCAGCTTTCATGTCTCTCCAGTCAGAGTCACTGGGGGAAATTGGACTCAGTGGGATATCTTGAGCCTTGATATGATTGTTCTATTCAGCAAAGGTTAATGTCCACATGTTGAATTTTTTGTTGCGTTCACAGCACTGATGTCTGACTGTGTGACATGATCGAGTATCCTTACTCGTCTACCTCTCTGCCTGCGGTACTAGTCAATGTCCTGGCACTGACACCATGCGGCACCTGTTGGAATCATAGCACATCACTGAAATGGACTCTGCAAGTTGAGGGTAACAGGTATGTGAGAATTTTCACTTTTACTTTCTGCCATAAGTGGGGTTAACTTTGCGAGGGGGAGGGGTATTTTAGATGCCCTCATTTTCCAGGGGAGAACAATCAGTGGGGTTCGGTCATAGTTCACACTGACCAAGACTGTTAAAGATGGACTATTACGCCCCTTTTTTTTCTTTCTCGGTATCTTTAGGGGGGCTTGTAGTAATGCCTCTGTTCTTGGTATGTAATTTACTTTGTTGTTGCATTCACCTGAGGTATATGGAGTGGCCTTTGGGTTGTCAAAAGACCACTTCAGCACCACCCCTAGCTTGTTTTCTTTTTAAGCACTGTACTTGGGACAAAGAGCAAAAATGAGTGTAATTCGTGGTTCACATTTCAAAATAGCAGGAACCAAATTTCATATTAATTTAATTCCCTTTTGAAAAAACTCTTGACCTCACACAATTTAGGATTTACATACAAAAGAGATTTTGCTTTATTGGAGGGAATAAACAAGTCAACTAATATGAGAAATACAAAGGGAATCAAGAGAGCACCCATTCAGATGGACATAAATTAAAATAGGAGATTTACAGAAATGCAGGATCCTGTAAAGTTAGAATACACTTTGAGCTCAAGGGAAAGAATGGCGCCAAAGTTCTAGATGTAGAGATGAGTTAAGACGAGTTGTTCCAAGGTGGGAGAACAGGAGTCCATCATGTTCTGTAGATAAAAAGATAAACTGAAGAAAGAGCAGGCTATTCGACAAGAGAAATTGGCGATAGGTCAAAGGTTCACCACTGGAACACTGCTTACCAGTAGAAAAGTCAAAAGCTCAGGAAAAAACTATTTAATTATGCAAGAGGAAAACATAGTCATAAAAAAATAAAATTTGAGATTGTAACCCAAGACCTCTTTTGGGACAGGGTTACGTGAGTCTTTAGTCAGGAAATATCAGATTCTTGGATGTCAACCACTCCACTGTCTCATGCTTTGTGATTTTATTTTTCGGAGGTCTTGTCTGAATGCACCACCGTGTTGTTCATGTACAGACATTGTTTTGGTGTGATTGATGGATCTGTGCGATTGTTCCATCCTGCTCTGCTATCAGTTGATTGGTCCTATATAAAAATCTGTTGATCCTATTGCTGTCACTAGTAAAAGTTGGAAATCCTGATCTTTTCTTTCCAATTCAGGGTTATGGAAACTTTCGGAAGGGGCATTGAAGTCTGGGATTTGGTAGGCAGATCAGTCCGTTGACTGGATGTTCCAAACCATCCATCATTCAGGTGAAGTTAGTTAAACTATCGTTAACCGAAGTCAACACTCCAACTTGCCCTAAGTGTACCCACCTTAGCCTAGCTTTCAACCATTAGGAAGTTAGACATGCATTTGATATCTTAAATGGTTGTCAAAGTTTATTTGAGAGTGTAAAAAAGGTTGGCAAAGTTTGCACAGTTCAACCTCACTGAATTCAAAACCAGAGAGCCCTGACATGTATACAGTCAGAGCAGAAGATGAGCTTGATCTTTCTCTGGTGAAGTTGCAATATTACTGGCACATTTTATCCAGTTGTTTTACAGCAAAATGCTGTATTCTACATTCGTCTTTCCCAACTGGGGTTCACTGTTATTGCTTTTTATGGTTCCGTTTTCTTATTTCAAGTTATTGTGAATCTCTGACTAGAAGAGTGATCATCTACATTACATTTCTTTTAGTACTGCATTAAAGAGCCCCATCCATTACACTTTCATTACAAGCTTGGATTGAGGCAAATGATGAGGAAGCATTTTGTTCATGGATCGAATGTGAACCAGCAGGTGGACTTAGGCGTCGAACCTTAAAGGCCCATGTGTTTGTCTAAGGAACTTGAACCAGCTGATGAACGTGAGAGTATAATTATCATAGCTCTAATCTCAGTTATGGCTGGACTTCAGTCTCAAATCATCCAGACTTAGTGACCAGTCTAAGCTTTTGATCCGCTTACGAGACTTGAGTAAATTTGAGCCTCAAACAATCCAGCTTGAGTGACCAACCCTAGCTCTAGTCTCAGCAACATGAACCAGCAGGTTGACTTGAGCCTCAAACCTTCCAGGATTGAGTGACCAATCCTGGCTTCAGTCGGAGCAAAATGAACAAGCAGGTGGACTTGAGCTTCAAATCATCCGGACTGAGTGATCAAATCTCGCTTCAGTCAGAGCAATATGAACAAGCAGGGTGACTTGAGCTTCAAACCATCCAGGATTGAGTGACCAATCTGAGCTCTCGTCTCCGCAACATGAACAATGAGGTGGACCTGAGCCTCAAACCATCCAGGCATAATCTGAGTGACCAGTTCTAGCTTTTGAGCCTCTTACGAGACTTGAGTGAGTTTAAGTGTCAAACCATGTAGGCTTGAGTTACCAATCCTAGCTCTGGTCTTGGCATCATGAACGAGCAGGTCTGAAGGAGCCTCAAACCCTCTGGCTTGAGTCCTGACTAGGACTGACCAGTCCTAGTTCTTGAGCCTTTTATGGGACTTGAGTGAATTTGAACATCAGACCATCCAGGCTTCAATAACAAACCCTTGCTTTAGTTTCAGAAATGGCTGGACTTCAACCTCAGACCATCCAGGCTTGAGTGACTTACCCTGGGTAACTCTTAGCAATATGAACCAGCAGTAGAACTTGAGCCTCAAACCTTCCAGGATTGAGTGACCAATCCTTGGTCTGATCTTGCCAACATGAATCAGCTGATGGACTTGAGTTTCAAACCATCCAGGCTTGAGTGACTAACCCAGGGTCGACTCTTAGCAGTATGAACCAGCAGTAGGACTTGAGCCTCAAACCTTCCAGGATTGAATGACCAATCTTTGGTCTGATCTTGTCAACATGAATCAGCTGATGGACTTGAGCTTCAAACCATCTAGGCTTGAGTGACCAATATAGCTCTTCAGCCTTAACTGGGCTAGTGACTGTGGTTTCAAACCACCCAAGCTGAAGTAACCAATCTTTTCTCTGGTCTCAGCAACATGAACCGGTAGTGACCAGTCCTTGCTCTTGTCTAAGCAACATGAACCAGCAGGTGGATTTGAGCCTCAAACCTTCCAGGATTGATTGACCAATGTTTTCTCTGGTCTCATCCACATGAACAAACAGGTTGACTTGAGCCTTAAACCATCCAGGCTTGATTGATGTATCCTGGCTCTTGAGACTTTACCAGACGTACAGTAAATGAACTTGAGCGTGAAACCATTCAGGTAGAGGGGCCAATCCTGGCTGTAGTCCGAGCAAAAGGAACAAGGAAGTGGCCTTTAGCCTCAAACCATACAGGATTTAGTGACCAATCTTGCTTTAGTTTCAACATGACCTAGCTGATGGAAGTGAGCTTAAAACCATCCAGGCGAGAGTGACCAATCGTAGCTCTTGAGCCTCTAACTGGCTTGACCGTATCCTCAAACTATCCAGTCTTTAGAGATCAATCCTTGCTCTGTTTTCAGCAACTTTACCTGGCTGGCGGGTTCGAGCCTCCAACCATCTAGATTGAGTGACCAATCCTAGCGTTAGTCTCAGCAATATGAACAAGCGGGTGGACTTGAGCCTCAAAGCATCCAGGATGAGTGACCAATCCTTGCTCTAGTCTCAGCACTATGAAAAAACAGGTGGACTTGAGCCTCAAACCATCCAGGCTTTATTGACCAATCCTAGCCTAATGCGGCTTGAATCAACTTGAGACCTAAATTATGCAGGATTGAGTGACCAATCCATCTCTACTCTCAGCAATACAAACCAGCAGGTGGACTTGAGTCTCAAACCATCCAGGCTTGAGTGAACAGTTCTAGTTTTTGAGCCTCTTAATACCCAGGCTTGAGTTTAACTCGAGCCTGACACCATCCAGGCTTGAGTGACCAATCCTAACTCTAGTCCCGTAATATCATGAAAAGTAGTCACACACGACAGGGTAAATTTGAAGATATTTGTATGGGCTCAGCCAAGTGTCGTGTTTCTGGAGTTATTTACAGACATCGAATGATTGCATCAAATTGCTGAAGATGTTATAAAATTTGTTATTCCCTTCTTTCTTTCAGTGCTGCAATTACAGTGGTGTGCCATCTTGAAGAGTCCATTTTCTTGATGAAGATGTACGGGTAAGTAGTGATAGATTCTTTAACAAACCTCAGGGAAATGTTTAATAGAAGTAATGAACAGATTGTGTATTTTATGTTTGGACTTTTATGTTGGTTTTGTTATTTCTTTGGATGTGTTCAGAAAAATGAGCAACACTGAATTCGCAGGCAAAGGTGCTGTAAGAAAATCTGTTGAAAAATTTGGCAATTGAATTGAAAAAAACTTAGTTAGCCCTAGAATAGCTGTTTTTTCCAGACAATTTGACAGAATATTTGTTCAGACTTTTTTATCTCCACACCCCATTTTGAAGTCGGCTTTCTGGTGCCCGATCTTTTCTAGACTTGACATGCATGTAGACACATTCACTATCAGTACAGAGGGGAAGTGTCAATTCCATCCGATGTATGGCTGTATTGTTGCTGTCATTTTAAGGCCTCGTTTGTGTCGACTTGCACATCGTTTGCATGCACATCAGTGGGGAAAGTTGATGTTTTGGCTGATGAGCTCTCTTCAAAAAATAGGTGTAGCACAAGAAACAAATGTGTCTGATATTCATCAAATTGGTAGCAAAATGACTGAAAGATATTACTAGAAAATTCCCTTAAGGTTTGGTTTGTAAAAAAATGCACTGCAAGGATATTGAAAGTTCATGGAACATAAGGAGGAGCAGATTCTAACCGCCCCCCCAACTCTGTTAGGGTTCAGACAAATAAAATCAAACCTCAGTCATGAGAACACAGTTAACCCTAACACTCCCAAATCCTCCAATTTCAATGTGATCTTACACCCCAGGGGGTTAGGATTAATACAACATTCTGCTTACCATAACAAGGGAATTGCTACGTCTCCATCATTTGTTCTCTATTGGTATCTCTCTTGATAATACAAGGTAATCGGCCAAGTTCCAAGGACCTCTTATTAAATTTTCTTAAAGACAAATTGTCTTCACCTTTGTATCTCCTTTAATTGTATGAAAACCTCTCTGCAATTCTATTTTATCAAATATATTGAAACAACCTGATTTTAAATAAAGGCCGTCAGCTGAACCCCTAAATTCCTTCGTTTCAGCAACTGCGGGTATAGATTTTCTGGACAGAATAGAGTACACAAATAACCAGAGATGACAAATGCAAAAGTTCTCCACATGTCCTGCAGTTTTTTAATAATTCGGGTGGAAAGAGCAAACTATTTTTCCGTTGAGGAAGCTCTATGTGCGAAATTTGCCACTTTTAAAATCATTTGCGAATGATGTAATCTCACCATATGATGCAAATTGTCCAATCCAAGACTGGTTTGTGTCATGACAGGTCATGACACAAAGCAGTAAACATGGAGATGTCCCGTGATGCTGACGGCATGTGCCTCACCTTCAACATCAACGAATTTCAGGTGTTTAATGCATGTAGAATCAGTCAAATTTGAAAAAGTACGAATGTCCAATGGAGAAAGTTCACTTCATGTGCCAAAGAGTGGCTTGATATATGCTGCAATTATCGTGAAATCACCGAACCAACTGAGTGTGAGGGGCTATTCGGGATCTGCATTGACTGTGCCTATAATGAAGCATATAAATTAGGCTACGTGTACATTGGTTTTCACGAGACATGCGACCAAGAATTTTTTAAATGCCTGAATCTTGCTAGGAAAGATTCTCCCTCTGAAACTTCATCTTCTTGCCCTCAAATTGTCTGGGCTAGATCAAGATCTTTAAGACTCTCATGACTCTGGTATGTCTGGTGTGTTGCCTGCGTGTTTACTTGAATTTTCATGGAGGACAGTTGAGCTGTTCATCACTGGACATTGGAAACGTGTCAAGGATAAGCTGTTGCAAGCAAAAATTTCTGATGGAGGTAAGCTGCATTACAATTACATTGCAGTCAGGGAAGGGCATGTTGATTGAAGTAGCTGTCGAAATTTGATAGTAATTTAGGTCTATGTTGGTATTTTAATCTTAGCCCATCATGTCCTCTGTTGAAGCCATTTCTAGTAACTTGGTCTCAATGAGTGGACCTTCCCATGAAATATCTAAATAAGGCATGAGCATGCACGTTACTACCACAGGTTGGCAAAGTCGCTTAAATCTACTATGACGTTACAATACAAATCCCCATGCAGAAGTGTGGTTCAATCTGACCCGAGCTAGCAGCATTAAGCAGTAGATCCATAAACAAGGCCCTCCTCTTGGGTCCTGGATATGGATACATGTACCTGTATATAGAAACAGCTTTTGAACTTTTTAAAGTTTCACCCACTGACACCCGCCTGATTACAGCGATAGCGCAGACAATCGTTCCAAAATGTCTGGCAACAAATAGCATTTAACAAAATGGTTATAAGATTAAGAGCCCAAGCAAGATGGCTTAAATTGTATTTTCTTTTAAATTTCTTTTCCAGGAATGCTTCGTCAAGCAACAGAAAGCAAAAGAGACAAGAATGTTTTGATACACATTTGGGACAAATTTTGTGTCGCTCTGGAGGTTCGATATCACACACTCAGTCCCTGACAAGGAAAAGCAGGGATGCTGAAGGGTAAGCTGTAGACAATATTTGATTGATGTGTTTTCCTACTTTTACTCAGTTTAAAAAATCTACTTTATTTGGGGGAAAATGAAACAATCTTGGCCTTGTGTCTTTCTGTGCCCATTATCATTATTTGAGGCTGCTTTGAAAATTAAGGTCGTGTTCTTAATCCTGGTGCCATAGTAACTCCTGTTTTCATCAAATATTCACCTATCTAATTTCATCTATTTCTTCTAATACAGAAGTGACAAGTTGAAGTGCTGGCTCAAAAGAGATTATCCTGAGGTCTGCTCCAACAAACCTTTCTGGAGAAACAAGTGTAAGATTGTCAACTCCTCCACATAGTCATCAAGAAGTGTGGCCAAATCTCTGGACACTTCAGAGAATGATAAATGAACCGACACGTCTGACTTGGAAGCTGCTACAGATGTTCCCACCTCTTCATAGGCTGTTACAGGACAGAATGACTCTGTGCTTGATGAGTTTTGATGTATAGTAATGAGAAGATGCTCCGGGGTTCCAATTTGCTGCCCTCTTCAGCGTTGTCTTTTCAAGGAAACACAAAGCATTTGGATTTCGTAGCTGTCCTGTTCATTACAGTTGCTTCCTTTACCTTTGTATTATGCCATTTTATTTATAAAAATAGCATTTCATCTAAATTAAATGTGCTCTTTTGATAGTCAGTTTAACTAACCAGTGAGATTAACCGTTTTGGAACATTTTTCTAAATGCCTTGTTTTAATCGTATGGCCTCTTTCGGATAATCCCACCAAAGTCTGAATTACAGTCATTTGATTTGGAATTGGAAGCCATTTTTAGCACAAAAATGATTGGTTCTAAAAAAGTGGGCCCCGGAATCATAATTACATTATGAGTACATTGAGTGAAGTATTTCTCCTGCTGTCAGCAATTGATTACATTTTCATCTCCATTTTGGACATCACAGCCCCCTGGTATTTGTATTGTTCAGAACTAATAAACTCTCCTTTTTGGAAGTGCCTAAACAAAGTCTTGGAAGCATATATTGTACATTTTAGCATACAAAACTTATGGCAAACTTTGAGATGGAATTACTAAAAAACTGCAGGATATTTTTTGGGAGAACTTTTGACAACATTTTGGATGTACAGATTCTCACATTTATGCCTTCAAAAAGTATTCCCAGCATTGCTGGAAAGGAACTCATTTTCACAGCCTGTTCCTAAGTCTCAGCTGACGGCCTAATAGTTAAAATTATTCATGCTTTCCTGGACAACTGAGGGCGCTGTTGCTTGAACTCATCTACGGAATACATGGTTCAGTGCATACATGCTAGGTGTTTCAAATTGTGAATGCAGTTTACCCACTGAAAATATTTGAGGGAGGGATATACACTTTCTTGTAGCTATGCACATTAAACAACGATAAATCAACAAAGAAGGGAAAACCGAATCCAGTAAAATCTACAAAATTGCAAGATTTGTGTTCAAAGCATTGAGGCTTTCATCCTCCTCATTAATAGGAAGATACTCATTATTAGCATAAAAACCAAAAAGGTAGAAGATTAAATGCAACACAAAGGTGCATTTTTAGGCTGGTATTAAAAGAAATTGATTGCAGCTACCCTTTAATGAGGTTGGAGCACTTACAGTATATAAAAATATTTAAGCTATTCCTTAATCTTGTCATTCAGTTTTCTCAATCTAATGTAATGACAGTGGACATTTAGCCATTGTTGGCAAATTTTACTGCACAATATTTTGCCTGGCACATGCACAGTAACTTTTTTTCCAACATAAAAATTCGTACTTTGACTAGTTCTGCACTAACAAAATCATTGTGACTTCTCATAATTTCAGTTTTTTTCCTTTCAATTAAAAAAATATCCAAAGCCACAAATAATAACATGAAAAAGTAACACTCTGTTATGAAATGTTGGATTCAATTTAAAAATAACCAAAAGCATTCTTTATTTTCTGGGATGAAAAAGGATGACAGCTTAAATTTGGATTGAATTCAGCCAGCTAGGAGTGTATGTTGTGACTTTATATGTGCATGTGCTATTCACTAGACTACCAAACATAGTTTCAATTTTGTGATAATCTGATGATCTTTATAGGCTTAATTATGTGGGACAGAGGGCGCTGTCTACTTGTAGCCTGCTAAATACTGTTAGTTAAATTTCTAATGACAGTGACTAAACATCCACTGTCCTACATGTGTATAATATCCTGAAACACTCTTGCTTTTTTTCTTGTTCCTGTAGGCAAAAACCAGCAGCAAGGCCGAAGATGTTACTGTCTGAAGTGTGTTATTTGCCGCGGCTTCCTTTGACAAACCTAGGCAGCACAAACCAGATGCTACAAACGCTCAAAGATTAGATTTGCAGAAAAAAGTGTACAGATTATCTTCCAATGGTAAACATGGTTTAGGACTATATGTCTTGTTTGGAAGAGTTTTTGGAACAGGGAATAAGAGTAAATGTCTTCAGTTGAACATGCACGACTTCTTTTTAAACACCAAACCCATATTTTGAGAACTGCTTTTCAGGGTGTATTTTTGTCTATAGAGAAAGAAATCAAGTATGTTTTAACTTACTTTTTCTAAATGTCATAAAAATTACAAAGCTTTAGACAAATTGTTCACTTATGTGGAGACAATTCAAAATGTTCATCATACGTTCATGATTGCACAAAGTAATCACTATCATCCCTTTAATGAAGCTGTAAAGTAGGACTCATAAATTCTTGAGAACCCTAGAGAAATTAACTGATGTACAATTTTATTGTTTTTCAGTTTTTCCCCTGAACTTTCAAAATTTTCATCAGATTGTAGGAACTTCTTATTCAAAATAAGCAGGTACCTGTAATGCCCATCATGTTCCTAGAAAGTATATAGCAAGATAGACTAGGAAGCTTACTACCAAAATTTTTTATATATGCCCAAAAAAGTTAGAAATTCAGCCACTCTGAAACTTCAGTCTTTGCAGAATCTCAATCTCAGATGTTCCACAAACAGTTGAATTTTGTGACAACATAAAAACATGTAGAAATGGATATTTTGAAGAAATTTTGAATATAGAAAGACTTCCAATTATATTATGGACCTACTGCTTACTGAAGTATATGCAAGGTGTGAATATTTTGTTTCTTCCTTTTGCCACATTCAAATTTCTGCTTTTGTTATTTAAATATATGTAGATAAGCTGTGCCCTCTGACCTTTTTGAAATTGCGCAATCCTAACCTTTAAATATAAGTTCCGAATTATTTTTCTGTCAAGAGGCCTGTGGCCTGGTGAGCTAGCTTGCTGGCTTTCTGGCAAGCAGGCCAGGAGACCCTGGTTCAAATCCCAGGGTCTCCGGAAAAGGAGGTTTTTTTTTTTTTTTTTTTTTACTAAGTTTTTTAACAAAATTGTGCATGCCTACCTGGAATTGAACCCAGGTCCTTGTGCATAGCAGTTAGTGTCCTTAACCACTATGCCATGGCACTTTCTTGGAAAGATGTGTTCGTTTCTAAATGTTAAACCTTCCATTGTTTGGACTTAGAATATTTTTCAGCCAAATCGTGTACTGTAGATGGGCAAGGATGGCAGTCCTAGGGGCTGGAAGTCTGAGAGCTGATAGGAAGGGTAGAGTGGATGGCTGAGGGCTTGGGACTATCAGTATTAGAGCTCTAAGGATCTCATGGGATTGATGAAGGACATAGCTTCTTAATGTTCCATGTTGCCAGTGGGCATATTGTAGCCCTTGTAGGATTGAGACTAAAAGGCTCTAAGAGGGAACTTCATATAAGGAGCTTGGAAGATGTTTAAGACTGGCAGGGCTGCAAAGTAAAATATAAAGACTGGAAACAGGTGTAACTCTAGCAGTGTAAAATGGTTAAGATTGGGGGAATGGTCTCAATGGTCGCAAAGTTCTACATTTTCACAAATAGATATACAAACAAAAGTTGTTCTGCTAGTTTAAATAAATAAACATTTATTTCTCTTGCATATAGAAATTAATCATTTATAGCAATAAATGGTGATTTTCACATACACCTAAAGGCATTTTTGCAAGGTAATATTTTCAAACTAAACAAATTTTGTGTCAGTGCTGAAAGGTCCTTATTGAACATGTTGTAAACATCAATTTCAGAATGAAAATTGGTTGAAACTTAAATATGTCAACTGCAAAAAAAATGGTTTTAAGACTAGAAGTTAAATGTTTGTTTCAATAAAAGATTTTTCATGCTGAAAGGCCGTATTTCAAACAATTACATTTTTGTAGTATTAAATGACCTTTAGCACTGAGCTACGGTTTTGTGATAATTTTTAGTGAAAGACATTTTTCTAATGCTCTGGCAATGTGCATGTACAACTTGAAATATCAATAATGCTCACAGACTTTTGTCCAAGGACAAGCTTGTAGTGAGGTTTCAGAACAGCCTCTAGGTTGACTGAACAGTGCTGGTATTTTGGCTGCCTGAATGGGAAACAGAGATGTGAATTGCATAATTTACCATTCAATTTTTAAAAAGCATGCAAATATAGTTACAAACTTTCATGCAAGTCCTATCTATCAAGTGTCTACAGTCTTTCCAACGGTAGTAAATTTTTCATACAAATACATCATTGTTTTGTTTTTGGAGAAGAGCAGCAAGTGTACATGTTTTAAATGTGCGTAAATATGAAACTAGATGCATTACGATACGTTAAAGATAAGATAATTTTCGAACTGTAGTTTTTGTTTCAAAGCAAACTGATGGACTGTTTCTGATTGTACTAAGTGTACAAAAGTACCCCTGAAGTCATGAATACAGTGCAACAGGCATAGAGAACATGGCCCTTGACTCCCAAATTTGCCATGCACTTTTAATGAACATTGAAAATTGCTTTAAGATTAAAGATAGAAATTTAAGACTGATGGTAATGACTTGAAAGCTAAGATTTCAACACTGAAAATTCAGAAATCAGAACTGCCATATTACGACATAGCAAATAGTGCCCCCTTTTTTTTGCGAATGGCACCTCCTTTTAGGCAAATAGCACCCTCTTGCAAGGATTTGTTTTCTCGTTTTTTACAGAAATTGGAACAGTTCAATTTTTTAGGCCTTTGAAATATCACCCAATAATTGGAACAGTTGGAGTAGTATATACACCAAGCACTGTGTATGGATGGACTCTGCCCTGTTCATTATAGTAGCATGTACTGTACGTATACCAACATACACTACTCATAAAATTAAAGGATCAGACATTTTTTTCTTCGAAAGTTTCAGCCAGGAATCTACTTCATTGAAACAATGAGAGATAATGCAACATGTGTTTCAGAGTTCACCTAAATGAACTTCACTGGTTCACAAATGACAAGGAATTATAATTTTTTGTAATTAAAAAATGTTTTATACATTTGTTTATGGTACAGATGTATGCATTAGTTTTCTAAAAAACGGTCTCGTTATTTTTTCACATCACAATACATATTTTATCATGTAAGTGCTTCATTTCTCAGCTGTAATAATATCAAAATCACTATCTGGACATCATTCTAACTCATAAATAGCGCCCTCACATTATCATGGTATCATTCTTACCCGTAAATAGCGCCCTCACATTATCAGGACATCATTCCTACTCGTAAACAGCGCCCTCCCATCAGGCTATTAAACTCCTAAACAGCGCCCTCACATTATCAGGATATCATTCTAATTCATAAACAGCGCCCTCACATTATCGGGATATCATTCTAACTCATAAATTGCGCCCTCACATTATAATTGGTATCATTCTTACCCGTAAATAGCGCCCTCACATCAGGCTATTAAACTCCTTAACAGCGCCCTCACATTACCAGGCTATCATTCTAATTCATAAATAGCGCCCTCATTATATCAGGCTATCATTCAAAGTCATAAACAGCGCCCTCGCCTTATCAGGATATCATTCTAACTCATAAACAACGCCCTCACATCATCAGGATATCATTCTAACTTATAAAAAGCGCCCTCACATTATCAGGATATCATTCTAACTCATAAATAGCGCCCTCACATTATCAGGATATCATTCTAACTCATAAATAGCGCCCTCACAATATCAAGATATCATTCTAACTCATAAATAGTGCCCTCCCATTATCAGGATATCATTCTAGCTCATAAATAGCACCCTCCCATTACCAGGATATCATTCTAACTTATAAACAGCGCCCTCAAATTATCAGGATATCATTCTAGCTCATAAATTGAGCCCCCACATTATATACCAGGATATCATCCTAACTCAAATGCGCCAATAACTCCACTTTTATCATTTTTAGGGCTGTGTAGGAGGCCTCAACAATGTGCTCACCAAAGTGTTTTTCAATGTCATACGGGACTTCAGTTCTTTGTAAAGAATGCATTGGACTTATGTTGCCAGAACATTTAACCACATTAAACGACACTCATATTTGAGAATCCGTTCTTTAAAATTCTGATCCTTGATCGTTTTGAGTAGTGTACAAATGCAGATAGACTTGCTCCATTACATACTAAGATGGAAGCAAAGAACTGCATCTCTGACATGTGAGAGGGTGCTTATCGTGAGTTTGAGGCTTAGGTCCGACGCCTCAAAAGTTCGAATTTTCGGAGTTATGAGGTGTCAGAATAATAAGGCGTAGAATATTAAGGGCCCGCGCAAGGCGACGCTTTGTGTCATAAACAGTACACCATACTTGACACTGGGAACCAGTCTTGTTCCTACACTGTCTTCAATACGCTTGTAACGAGCGCCAAATCAAACATCGGACTTTTTGAGGACTTTTTTGAGCAGTTGGATCTATGCCATATGGGCCGAAAAAACTTTTAAACACATTTGTCGGACCTATGAGGCTTCGGACCTATGAGGCATCGGACTTACAAGCTGACCCCTGAGAAGATTGAGTCCTTTCCTTGCCTTTTTGTGAATCAATGCCGTAAAGATTCTGATAAGGATCCCTCATGCAGTCTTGGAAACTGTTCCTCCTCAGTGATGGAGGTCAGGACTGGCATCTATCTGAGTTATTTCCTCTTCTTGACGTGCTTGTCGGATCATCTCTGGGAAGTCCTATAGGATCTTGTCTTCCATCTTGCTTCTCTCCCCATTGAAGGAGGCGAGGGCACTCTTCTCATCGGCATTGTAGATATGGTTCTTGCGCACAGCTTCCATGTCAATGTCTGGGATGAAATCAAACACAGAAGAATGAGTTACAGCAAAGTACTGAGACAATTCTGACAAACATTCAAGGATCTTTGTAGAGTCCTTAAGTTTACACCTAATTTCATACAAAACAATCTGCGTTGTGATTGGATTTGGTACTATAAGGCGGAGTTCGGGCGGCTTGCACTCATATGCTCACAAACTGCTTGACTTCTTGTTCGTGGGCCAGCTGCTCAAATGCCGTGAACATACAACCGATTATCGCTGGTAGTTACAGTGGCAAGCAACATGTAACATGGCTACGTCCATGTACGTTCTCCGAGCGTTCATGTTTGGAAAACTGTGCTGAATTCTTTTCTATTCAAAAGAAACATTCATTTCTGTGTTATGGAAATTTCATAATGTTGATTTTGCAAAACTTCCCATGTCCCCGGCTTAGTAAGCCATCTCGCTATTTGAGCAGTTGTTCAAATATCAAAATTTCAGAAGGCAGCTAGGGTTGGTTTTTTTTTATTTCAAGCCGATATTTTTGATTTAAATCAGATTTTTAAAATTTTTATGACAACTGGAGACAAGTTGGTTTAATCTTTTAAAGCACAAGCGTATTAGCTGCATGTGTATTGATTTGTATTAATTTATCTCTTTTGATAGAAAATTAACCATTTGAATTAAGAAATTTAAATCAAGTAATTGACTAAATTCACAAACCACCTTGAATCCATGTATCGTCTAAACCCGGTGCAATGCATAGTGCATAGCGCCTAGCAGTACCGCATGTACATGTGTACCTGCTGAAGACACTTCCTTCATGTACGCAACAACGATAAAATGCGCTGTAAGTTTGACAAAATTAGAGTCCAAAAGAACTTGTCAACAGGTTACTTCTATGTATATCAAATGACTTTTGAGTGAAAAACATTGCCATAAACCACATGTACAAGTATAAGTTTATTTTACATGCTATATGTATACTATGTACATGTACATGTACATGTAGGTACAAAATGCTGGTATTTTACCTGGCTCTAAAATACACAAAAAGTAGTCTTGTTTTGTTTATGAGCCAGCTCCTAGGTGATTAATAGAACAATGGCTTAGGCTTGATTAAAAATCACTTTATTAAGAGCAAGCTATTACTGGTTTTAGTTTTACTGTATAATGAACAAACAAAATGTTGATGTTTTCTGATATTTCATCAGGTCAAACTCTGCAGTGGGCAATTTAAATGAAGTGAAATTAAATCAATATTATAAATCCTTCCCATCGAATTCACTTACTAAGCTGATTTAAATCAAAACAAGTGGATTGAACAAAAAAATCCTGCCCACCCAGACTATATGTAACACACGTGCATTCACCCTTTATCAATACTGGGAACTGAAAGACTTACAAAGGGAGGGATTTGTTGTTTAAAATGTGTAAAACCTGCATAAAGTAACCAATCAGTTGAAAATAATTTAACTGAAATGGCAAAGGCGCCATGGCTCGCTACTTGTTATGAATTTGAATTTCTTTCCTGCAACAACAATAACAACATCCAAGTTATACAAATATGGTTACTACATTTTACTCAAGCTTCATCCAGATTTTTTACAAGATTGGTTGACATACGATCATAATACAGATGTACAAGATATTTTATCAACCTTAGCAATAAAATTCATTACACTCTAGGAGAAAAAACCTAGTTAGTGCTGCGTGGAGACGGTGTGTTGAAAGGCGCCTGTCCTAAAAGTAAATAAACAAAGACCACTTATAAGGGAGATACGGGTACAAAGGCTTCACTATGGTATTCCATATGTGCCATCTGGTCACATTTTTCAACAGGCGTCGCATTTTTCGACCAGCGTAAAATATCTCAAAGTTATGGTGCGTGACATTTCTTCGCCAAGAGTAGTTACATTTTAAATTATACACCGTACTGCGATAAACGCTCCCTCGGGAAGCATGTCTGCAAGATGGCAAATACCATACCAACCAGAGTGAACAATGGGCCTACCATTCTGGGTTCGATTTTTGTGGCAACTAGTAATCATCAGTACGGGGACATTTTTCACTCAAAAAGCTTGCAGAAGTGAGAAACCAAATTGAGCGAGGTGAACTTCCACGACTAATCGGGTTCATTAAAGGGCTGTTAATTTATTAACATACAGTTAATCGACGCATACATGCTAATTTAGCCGTTTCCATAATCATTCAAAATATGTACACACACTTTTAGCATCCAAGTCAACAACTTCAGGTCCGGCTGGACCAAGGTTGACCATTGATTAATGGCTCATTCACATTGAAAGGCGACGCCGGTTGAAAAATGCGACACCCGTTGAAAAATGCGACGCCGGTCAAAAATGCGACACCCGGTCGAAAAATACAATGCCGGTCGAAAAATGCGACGTCCAGTCGAAAAATACGACGCCCGCTGAAAAATGCGATGCTGGTTGAAAAATGCGATGCCCAGTTGAAAAATATGACGCCCGCTGAAAAATGCGACGCCAGTCGAAAAATGCGATGCCTGTTGAAAAACGCGACGCCGGATGGCACATATGGAACACCATACTTCACATTTCTTTACAGGAGAGAGGAATGCCTAAAGAATGTGGGTCCAGCACAGTCAGACTCGACCTGGATGTTTATGCAAGCAGTGCATTTGTGAGTTTGATGGATGGTGTATAATTAAAATTCCTCTTAAGTGCAGTTCTGCACTTTGTATCCAAAAAACCCCATCATCCTATCCTCTACAATTCTACCTCCCACATCATCCCATATCTACCATGTCTACTTTGACTCTATCCCTAATCCCATCTATCTCCAATCCCACATCCATCCATATCCTACTCCACCCCTCCATTATCTTGTCCATCTCTTACTCTACCCCCCTCCTCATTATCCCATTCATTTCTACTCCACCCCCTACCCATCATCCTACCCATTTCCTAGCTACTCCATCCCTGCCCATCATTCCCTTCACTTCCTACTCTGGCTGTCCCATCATCCCACTTATCCAGCCCAACCATTACACCAACCTTATCTAGCATTTCATCATACATCATAGTACATACTAAAACTCAAAACGTGAACATTCAACTTTTTTAAGTTTTTCATTAAATTCATAAGTTTGTAAGCATTAATGCCATGTAAGACTATTTACACACTGATGGAATTCCAAGAGGATGCAAATAAGCACTCAATGGCACAATTTAACACCTACTGACCTGCAAGGAAAAACTTAACATTTGAATAGAGGGATCCCAATACGACGCTTTTAGCGTCGATCTGCGCACTTCCGCGTTTGAAAACGAGGCTGTATGTGTCAGCTTCAATTCTTAATACGATCAGACGATTTGAAAGTACGGAGTCAAGACGCAAACTACATAAAGGTATGTTAAATTCAGACTTTTCAGGCTGCAAATTTTTGTTGAAGAGTCTTTCAGAATGACTCGACACGTGAAATCAAAAGAAAAACCCATGGCAATTTACCGCGAATTAACGTACCTGCGATGGCTGTGTATCTTGTGCAGTGGGCGTGGTTTAAACTGAAGTGGTATCACACTTACGAACTGGATACTGCATGTACTGTGTCGACTCCGCGGGCGCGCGCGACGAGGTTCAATACAGACAACCTCGATTTCGATGCCAATATGCGCAGACGGCGCTAATGTGAAATCCATCTATATGGCCAGACAGACGGACGGACAGAAGACGGAAATCGGTATTACATAGGCTTGCATTTGCTTCGCAGCTCACCAAAAATTGAAACATTTTTGCCTTAACAAAAAAAACTTTAACACAGCGAGTTAAATTAGTGGTTTTTAAAAAATCATTTGATTTAATTGCACTTAAAATTGGTGATTTAAATCAAGGTGATTTAAATCTACCAACCCTATGAAGTAGTGGTGTATGATTCTGTTCCAAGAACAGTATTCTCGGGTTGTGTTCCTGCAGTTTGAGCACGAGAGCAAAAACAGGCTGCCCGGCATTAAGTTGACCTGAGTTTCTCTAAGTCTATCATTTTTTTCAACCATTTTCTTGTCAGAAAATGAACTATGAAGCAAAGACTCTGTAACTCATGATAGGACTTCTGACGGACTTAACTAACACTGCACATCGTAAACTTGAAAACTTCAACATTCCTTTTGGGTGAAGTGAATTAAAAAGTGACATCATGCCTTTCTGGACAGCTGAGGGCGCTGTAATCTCAATCTTTTGGCAATTAATTATGCCAACAGGGAAGATGCTTCTTTTATGAGTTTTTCTATCAAAACTCTGATACCTAAATTTACTCCTTGAACATGTCTCAAGAAATGTTGACCATTGATCTTTGGTAATTTGCAATGAAACAGCAAGGAAAAGGAAACTTAGGCCAGGAAATGAGAAAAATTTCAGTACAGTTGGTGCATTCAACTAGCTTGCCCTAGTTACAAGGGTTTAATCTTTTTATCATGTCTCATGGCCTTGCACAGATTCTACATGTAGTGAAGGAAATATGTCCCACAGGGTCACAGCTAATGACGTGCAGAGCATTTTGCTTTGGGTAGATTTCTGCCAGGCCCACTAGCTCAATGTGTTTAAATGCAAATGACAGTTATTGATTCAGTGTTTTCTCTTTATCTTCTACATTACTGTAAACATTTTCAGTACAGAATATTTGTTCATCCAAAAGTGTTCAAGAAACCAACAATTTGAAAAATATTGCCAAAAGACACGTGGTGAGTGATACTTTAATACCACACTGTGATTGTACCAAGGCCTTGTTTTTATCATAGAGCAGACACTTTTGCCCAAACCAAAAATTTAAATAATGCTTCAAAAACAGGAAGTGATAACCTTGTGGTCACTGGTCATGCACAATGTAGCCAATCACATTGCAAAGCCATCAGCCCTTCCTAGCACCGTTTAGGCACTGGGTGACAAGGGAATCTCATCCCCACAGTCTTGCTCATATACACAGCCAAGGTCAGGGTTGCCCCATGTACTGGTATATAACTGTAAGAATTGTTTTTTGCTAACCAACCCAGAGAGGGGAGTGGATTTGTTTTGCTTTTGAATTTTTTTAAAGGGTTTGGCAACATATTGGGCTATTTATACACAGTTCAAAAGGAAACTTCATTACCTCTTGGCTGCCTTTTTTGGGGGAAGGAATGTGGCCCCCTTTCCCAGATACACCCTTGCTGAAAGCCATCACATGTAACAAATGACTCCTACCTGTGTTACTTATGAAATGTCTGCAGCTATGGAGATTTCATCACTGGTCCTTCAACTCGCACCATGACGAAGGATTATACATGTATACGTTAGCTGGTCTCAACGTAGGCAGCCATTGCACTACCTTCAACTGGCAACAAGGTCTTCCCAAATCTAAGAAAGAAAAAATGACAAAAATAACAAGAAAAGGTTACCCTTAAGGTTTTTTAATCACAGAGTAAAAAGGTACTGGTATATTTTGTCAAAACAAGCAAATCATTCAGATTTCAGTCCATTAGCATCTGTAGTTTTAGTAATATAATACTTGTGACCCATCCCAAACAAGGCCCTTCGGTCATGCTACATGTACATGTATGCTTCTGTATGTAACAGACCATTCCATACATCTGCCAGAGATCAATTTTAAATTTTACTTGAGAACGGAGTGTGCGACAGAGGTCAAAAATGCACAAATTTAATCCTCATTAAAATGCCTATCCATTGGCATCACTTGAAATAAGTTTGTCATACATACATGTAGGCCCAAAAGCCATTTTTGCAGAGTCAGTCACATTTGGTCGCTGTTAAATCCATAAAAACCATACTGCGCATTGGGCAGTGCAGGGAGCGACAGTGTAGTCTTATTGGCACAGAAGGGTTCCCATAGAAATCAGAAAACAAAATTCAGTTGATTTTGGTCAGCTCTTAACCGAGTTAACTTGTACCCCAGTCAACTCGTACCCCACTAGTAATGCCGGTCAACTTGTAAGCTCCACGAAAATACACGCGCTTGTGACCCAAAAAAATTTATGATTTTTTTCCCTTTTTTTTATCCCAAACGGATTACGATAATTTGTCTCCCTTTTATACCCAAACTGATTACGATAATTTTTCTTCTCCTTTTTCCTTTTCACTTTTTGGACGATGTTAGATGCCAAGGGATGTTAATTCATCTTATCATTAAAATGGAAAAAAAACTCTCTTTTTTCAAAATGAATCATCAAACACTGTCAAACGAACAGCAGACAGATCTATCTCTTTTTTGAAGATGGGTAGGCTCTGACTTCGCCTAGGGAGTACGCGTTGACTCAGGTACGAGACAACCTGGGTTAACTGGGTGCGAGTTGACCTGGTTACAAGTTAAGTTGGGTGTATATTGAAGTACCCTGCACCTCCTCTGGATCCTTGTAGCCCCACCTGCTATATACATCAATCATTGCACCCCATTAGACCTAGCCCCCTGTCTGCATGTATAGAGTGTACATGTACATGTATACGTGTATATATAGGTGTACTCCTGCATCTGACACACAATAAACCAAGAAACCATCAGAACAACTCAAGCTTATGTCGAGCACACAATATTACATTGGCGACGACGACGGGATCGAACAGTCCACAATGTACATCAACATGGCACAATTCAATATACCAGCACCACCACCATTAGATATGGCAGATCGCAAACTGGCCATGTGCTGGAAGAAATTTGCACAAATCTTTGCAAATTTTGCCATTGCAACAGGAGTCCACAATAAGAACGACACCTCACGAGTTGCCACTCTGCTAGCTGTTATCAGCCAAAATGCCGTCGATACGTACAACACCTTAACCACTTGCTGCCGGGTGGATTTTTCATGAGCATGACAAGATGCCGGGTCCTTTTCAAGATTTTCCATTTTCAAAATTCTTCAAAAATTCATAATTTCATTTAATGGCCGTTTATACCAAAATGAAGGACTCTTTGGGCACTATTCTAAAGCTGACAGGTAAAATTCATTGACTCCTGAATATTTCAGCCAGGCCTGCAGCCTTGGATAAAGACCCAGACTGTGCAGTGTTACGTAAGATTCTTTTGTTCCCGAAATCGGCACAGTGCACTGCTGACCTCTTTTCAAAAGGGGCCAGATTAGCGTGTTTTGCAGCGGTGCTGTGTGGCTCATCGCTGCGGTGGTGGAAAGCTTTTGTCCCTGGCGGTAATCCGCTCACTCTAAATGCCTCAAACCTGGTATACTTTTTCAAAATAAGGCTGGATTATCTCAACTATTGAGAGCGAAAAAATTTCGGTAATGCCCAGCACCTCAGTCTTTTGTGCTGAGCATGGTCTTTTGTTATAAGGCCCAACTCTTTTGTCCAAGTTCTGGGCTCCCTGGCTCTACATGTAAAGCCTATGTACTTGAAAACGGGTTGCCCTGCAGGGAGTGGTTAAAACCCTAGCCGAAACTTGTGAGTTTGGAGAGTTAAGAGATTCACTCATTCGAGTCCGCATCCTCCTGGGTATCAATGATCAAAGCATCCAGAAACGCCTACTGAGAGAGGCTAATCCGATACTAGACAATCCCATCGCTGGCATACAAGCTGCAACGAATTCATCAACACAACTGAATCACACGGCCGGAAAAACTCAATCCATCTATGCAGTCCAGCAACAACCCAAGCACCATCCCAAACCATCATTATCAACAACACCAGCGTGTTATCAACAATACCATCGTGTTATCAACAACATTGAATCGAGAAAGCAGCAACTGAAAGCAGCAACTGTAACTGTGTTAATACCAACATCATCCTTTGGCACTGAGCTTCATGAGGGTTGATTTTTGAGTAGCATTCTGACAGAATAGTTCTGCCAGAATGCTATTAGTGTGGAAAATAAAATTTGGGTCACTAGGAATGGGTGCCCATAGTGGCTAGGGAGCGACCCATAATGAACTGGCATCCCATCCATGGGAAAATATGTAGCAAATATTCTCAGTGGTTTCATGACAAGGAAACTAGATATAAACACCCATCTGATAACTCAATTGGCTCAGGACCAGACTTACAGGTACTGAACACAGGTGGCCTGGTGTGCTGGTGGGCTATGGTTACAGGGAACACGTATTTGGTGCTGGAAGAGGTTATGTAACGTTGACATCAATGTAGCTTCATCGGTCTTTCATCATCGCACTTTTGTCATCGCTCTTTTTTCATCGCTCTTTCTTCATCGCTCAAAAGAGATCGATCGATCGATGTAGGGGAATGATCGATGTAGAAGAACGATCGATCGATGCAGAAGAACAATCGATCAATGTAGGGAACGATCGATTGATGTTGAAGAACGATCAATGTGTTGCCACCACGTTTTTGCCTCTTTGGCGTTCCATATGTGCAGCGCAACTATAGAATCAGCGACGTCCTTGGAGCATTGACAGGAAAAAATAGGCCCTGTGCAGCGCAGGGAAATTTTTAAATATAATTTAAATAAACTTGGTTGGATCAAGCTTTGAAACTCAATTTCACTGCATTCCACCTGATTTTACCTGAGTACGACAACACGCTAAAGAAGATTTATGAAACCACTGAAGAACTTGAGAGAGCGGGATTTCAATTTCAAGCCACAGCATGATCAGTGAGATAGTAAACCCTTACCTCACAGCAGCGAGATAGGAAACCCCCCCAAAAAATGTTGCAAGTAGCTCTTATATGCTCCCGTACATATATGCGTGGAATGGCATTTTGTACAAAAATTTCTTGAAAATCACAAGACATGAAAACAATGCAAACAGCATTTGCAATACATATATGTATACTGTACATCAGAGGACTTAAAGCTACAATCCTTGAGAATATTTCTCTGAAGCAATAAAATCAGGCTCTTATATTTCTCTAACAATAAAATTCAACCAAATCTCAACACTTGAGGAATAAGTGTATTACTCTAGAACAATACTTATTGCAAAATACTGTAGAAAATATGGATGGACAAAATGTCAATTTGTGCATCAAATTGATCGGGAACAATGGTTACTGTTCAGGTGTACAACTTTTATATTGTATTCAGAGGGTTTTACAATTTTGTTAAACATTTCCAGGTAACATTTCAAATATATGTTTGCAAATGTATGCAACAAAATCACAGTAACACACTGACATATAGCAGATCACAAAAGCCAGAAGACCTGAGTGCTCGCTTGCTTAACATGCTACTTTTTCAACCATTTGTGCCATATTTCCTGAACTTTCCTGTTTGTTGACTTAACGTTTAGAATAAAAAATTAAGGTCACTTTGTGGAAACTTACTGGAACAAATGACACCTACATAACTGCAGAACCACATTATGGTTGGTAGGTCACAAAGAGCAATAAAAAGCAAGTAATTTAATGCTGACAGAATTGACCATGGTCTCTTGGTCTATGGTATAATAATGACCTTAAAGATAAATGGAGAAATATTCAAACTTTACTTTTACATTTTTTTAAAGTTTTCCCTTTCCATTGTCTAAATATTATACGTAGAGCATGCTCTGTTTATTTTTAAGAACAAGTGATAAAACAACACCTTGTTAGGGCTGAAACAATTTGAATAATTTGTCCTTCAATTCGATTGAATATCCGAATATTCGGTCATACAGACCAGCAGATTGTTAATGAACGGTATACAAATCAGTTGCAATATGACACAAAATTGTGCATTATGATCAATATAATAGCTTCTTACATCCAGGAGTATCTCCTGCCGTGATTCAGCTAGATTAAGAGATGAACAAGACTTCTTGCCCTGTTGAAAATTTCTATTCTTTTTAAACTGTTTAATGAATAATTCGACAATCAATCGAATATTTGGATATTCGGCTCAGCCCTAGACTTGTTTGGGTGGGATTTGAACCCCCGACCTCTTGCTCACTGATTCTGGCAAGCTTGCCGAGGTCAAGTACATGTAGCTGGTCCTTAATTGAAGAAGACAAAAATTGAATGGCTTGGCTGTGACTGAAAAATCAAACATCGGTGAAAAAGTATGTTACCTGCAAAGAAGTAACCAGTGAAGATGCGACAGGACAGAGGATCCCAGAATGTGAAATAATTTTTTTTAAATCTTACCAACGCTCTATAATGTCTGATGGAGAGTAACTTGGGCGTGTCAGAGTCCAGAGCCATGCTGAAGTACAGGTCCTGGATGGGCTTGTAGTGAGCTCGATGCTTACCCAGGTAATCCCATGTCATTCTTATGTTTGACTGCTAAGCAGAAAATAAGTATAACAGCATATTTTTATTCCAGCAGAAAAATGAGGTTGATTTATGTTTGACTGCCAAGCAGAAAACAATGACGTCAACCGTCAATGACAATTAAAATTCACTAGATCTACAAATCAATAAATTGAATATGATGTGAACTGCAACAGAAAAATAACGTGAAAACTTTGAAAACACAAATGCCAAGTATGAATTTCTATCAAAGTTCAGCAAGCAAAGATTCTCTGAAATCCACTAGCTTTAAATCCTTGTTCTCAGTGTTAGCAAAATACTTTAAGAAAGTGAATGAAACTGGGCGGAAGGACGATACCATAACATCACAGCAAGTAGTTTAACCAACAAGGAAAATCAAATCAATGATGCTTAAAAGTGTTCTGAAACTGAACTTGGAGGAACCATAAATTGGACAAAGAACATACACATATATTAGTAGCTACAGATACAAGAACTTATGTTACGCCCCAACTATAGCAAAAGTCCCAACTATAGTTGGGACAGTCCCAACTGTAGTGCTGCAGTTGGGCTGGCCCAACTATTGTAGACCAATGTCTGTGGGAAATGTCTCAACATTATCCAAGTCAATGTGTCTCACACTTGACACAATTCATCTAAAATGTGGCACTTCATCTGTTTATCTAGCCCTATGACCAATGACATGACATTTGTAAACAATATGCTGGGCACATCATGCACACAGGACCTCTCTGCTGTAGTTGGGCTGGCCCAACTGTAGCACTCTAGTTGGGACGGG